CGTCGCACTATCAAAATTCGCCGCAGATCTGTGTGCGCGCGCAATGCGTGCGGCGCCACCTGGTTTGTACATAATCAAGCATTCTTGGGAGAATTATTGGTGGTATTTCACACGGCGGACTGTGGTCAAAAACAGCAAATAACAACAACAATTGAAAAACCCCTACTCCTTCTACCGTTCCTACCATAGACAGCAAATTAGAACAAGAAAAGCTCTCAATTCGATTCATTCACAGATTGTAATGTCGAGCTAAACGTTGTACGTCGAACTGAAGCTCCGGAGAAGAAATCAACTTAGAAGGAAATTCGCGAGACCGAGGATATGGAAAAAACAGTAAATTGTAAACAATTAACCTGATCTCCTTTAGAATCTACACAGTCGCGGGATCGCTTTGAACCAATTCTTCGGCTCACTGTTAACAGATAAAAGTCTGTACAAAAAATAATTTAATAGAATCCTATGAAGAGTCAATCTGAAACCGCCAAACAACATTCAAGTATAGGAAGCATTCAATGAAGAACAAGGGGGCGACAGGGTGGTATCACTGACCCGTAACATCCGACGACCCTGATCCAAAAACCTTCTAACATTAATCAGCCCCGTTTTAGCATGCGCCACATGTTTGTTATCCAACTGCACTCAATCAAATGAATGAGACAAAACATCCAAGGAGAATCAAACAGCCGAACATCAATGAGTTTTTTTACCTACCCAAGTGGGTCTTTTTGAAAATTGTCAGTTATGAGCCTTGGCTGGTCAAGGTTCCAAATGAACGGAATAGAACGATTGAATGGGGACAGGAATAGGACAACCCTCGCGCATGTAAGGTAAAAATTGCGTTACATTAATTTTTGATGTTTATTATAAGCCTATTTTGAACGTCATCGTGGAGCAAAATAGCCGTAAATAATAAAAAACAAGTAGATAAATAATTAAATAAATAAGATGCTGCGAGGACAATGCTGCAAAGGTGTATAGGAGGAAGACATGACCCACCATTCTTTGATAGTTGGATCATATTTACCGGACACGACCACTCTGTGAGGAAGAGGGGAAGCCGTATTATATGGCAACTGGCAATGTGAAAAGGGTAGTGGAAATTGCGAAGTTTTTTGAAAAGATCCATCAGATATTCGGAGAAATATTCATTTCACGACATCTTCGAATTCCACGGAAATTTCGAAAACTATTCCTCTCTTGGTCTCGCTTTGTACACCTTCCCAAAGTCGACCAGTTTCCAGATGAGATAATAGGTAGAGGAGAAGGCAAGGGAGGGAAAGGGGAATGGAGAGAGAGAGAGGGAAATAACGTGAGAGCAAGATTCATAATAATTTTTTTTGGATTTTCGAATTTTTTTGCTGGTATTGATAAAAATTAATCCGTTCCCAGAAAAGATGGAGACATTGCGGACCGCCGTTTTACAGGCACCTCCGTCTCTTTTCTATGTTTTATTGAAACGAATCATCATTAAACTATAAACACTTTTATCCCTGATGACAAGCATTGTTTTCCGGCTCTAAACATGAGTGCAAACAATTCGAAAACATTGGAAAATGCCAAATAAATGAGATAAACTATGCTCTTTCGTGTGAAATCGTGCGCCACATGGCGGTTGCGCAATGTGTTAAATATGTACTATGCGTTATCCTTACATACTGTGGGTTGTAATTATTATAAAGAAAAATGTTTTCTTCTGATATTTTTATTAAGTATATATTATACTTATAGTTAGTTTAGTTTATGAAGTATTTTTTATATATGAGAAATATACTTTCTATTTCTCATATGAGGTTTTCGATGTAACAACAGTACAACTCACGTGCGGTGACACATTAGAGAAGGCAGAATTCCAAATGTAAAACCTGAGACCAAGTACAAAGAATGAACAAATTTAACAACCAAAGTAAAACTTGAGTTTACACCAAGAGCTCAGCCAAGAGTCCAATTATTTAGGAGAGTCCAATAATGGCAGGCCATTTCAGTGCGCTAGCCGTAATAAAAGTTTAGGAAAAAACCGAGATGGGTAACTCTGTCAGTGGCTCGCACTATCGAGCCCTTCCTCACTCCGTTTCCCGTTTACAACGAGGTCGGTTGAAGCTATGGAGTAACGGCAAAGAATCGGGCACACATGAGAGAAAGGATTTGGACCAAAATTTTTCAGAGAATAGAAGTTCCTTCTTCCCTATCGTTTTAAAGACACTGCATGTTTCAAGCAGCATCGAGTGAAAATCGCACTAAAAATATCTCCGAAACTCCATCAAAAACCCAAAAAAGTTCATCAACTCTGAAACAAGAAGACCATTCCCTAATACGTAACTTGCGCTTCAAGAATATCTTCGGCTAGTCGGACGACGGACCAACATAGATTGATGGAAAATAAGCAACAACTTCAACTCTCCTTCGCTGAACAGATGAATCACTATGAAAATAGGTTAGAGTGGCTGATCGTTGAAAAAAATGATCACAAACATCAGGTGCTAGAAATCGGTACATTGTCTCTCGCTGAAAACTCATCACCATATCTCGAAAAATGCCCTCTAACGCCAGACAAGGTTGTTTCATAAACACCCGATCGCATGGCCTTACGCTACGACGTGTTTACCTTCTTCAGAGCAGATTCTGCCGTGATTTCAGTGCTTCGAAGTAAGTGTTCACGTACTGTGTAAGTTTCTTTCGTGAAGAGCAAGTCGTCATTTGAAAAAAAAAGCTACTATACCTTGCCTGTGCCTTTATATGTATGAGGGGAGAAGTGATTGAGCAGCAGCGTATGAGAACAATTGGCGATAACACACCTGATCAGGATGTGAAGAATACGCAGATATCAATTCCATAACAAAGCAGCTTTGCTAAGAAATTGTGTAATGAGGCGGTTTTTTTTTGAAGACGAAATGGATGCATCGAAATGATCAAGGATAAAAAATGGTGCGATTTGGCCTATTTTTGGAGCCAGATAATGTACAAATCAGCCGAATCTTGTACCGAAAATTGCCTTCGAAGCTATAAAAGATATGGTTTCTGACCATTCAAGGGTAAAAAGGAAAGGCGTTAATCGATATCAGTTTCAAACACTCCACTTCAACTTTCGCTTACAATCGCTAAAGCATTGAGGGCGATTTGGTCTATTTTCGAAGCCAGTTAATATACAAATTAGCCAAATCCGTACCAAAAATTGCCTCCGAAGCTATAGAGGACACGGTTTCTAACCTAAGAATTGTTCGAGGATCCAATCCTGCGTTCATGCTCATGAGTAGTAGCAGCGCCATATGTCGTTGTTGCCCCAGCCCCCTCCCCTTCCTTCACTTCCGGATAATACACACGATAACCTTTCAAAACGAGAACTCAGAGTCAAACTATGATTGACAGCATCTCCTCCTTGCTGGTGCTCCAAACTACTAGAGCGCACCCCTCAATTTCAAAGATGTGTCAACCTTATTTTTTGCGGAGTAGCTGTGGGAAGAGGCGGCACTGCATGCGGTTCAAGCGAAATATCGGCTCAAACCTTACAAAGACCAATCAAACCTATCCAGAGAGGATCCAACGGTATCAGAACGGCCTGGATGATGATATTAAGGACTTGTATATCGCCTGATCCCGCAGGTGATAGCAAAGAGCATTCAAACACCGCTGTGATGCTGAAGGGATGTAGAATGCGTGGCGCATCCCAAAAATGGAGTAATCGGCGCCGAAGGAAAGTCCTATCCTTTATGTTTGAGAAACACAGCAAAGTTACTTCAACACATGTGTTTACACACCTACAGGCTGTTCACTTAAAAATTCGAAGGCATACAAAAGTTGTACCAGAAATCGCCGATTCAAGAAAATAAAGCCATGCTTGACACATTGTGTCCAAAAGGTGGTTTCAAAGATCGGTACATCACTTTTTTGTGATGATGAACTGCGTAACAGAGAATAGAAAGCATCATACAGTGACAATAAAGTGACAGTGACCATTTATAAGTGTAAAGTTGGTTTCTTTGTTCAAGGTGGGTCGTATCTGCTATCGAACGGAAATGTTCCATTCTACGTATGGTTATAACATTCTTTTCTTGTCATGTTTTCGAATATGCTCTGAAACCGGTCAGAACGGATTTCCGCCATGTAATTACTACAACAATCATACAAACTACAAAAAACAAGGCATAAAACATTTGGAATCAGCATTTGACGTCAATCCCTTTCTAGTTTGCGCTACACATCACTTGCTTTCAGAATCGTGGCAGCATTTGTCCACGATGTGGCCTACACAATGACTTTTGCGAGCCACTCGATGAACGAACCAACGAACAATCAATACCATTTCAAGGCGGCACTGAATTTATTTATTTATTTATTTATTTTACTACTGCACTCAAGGTGCGCCTAAGACAATCGGCGTGGTATAATTACAAAGTTGACTGCTAGATAAATTCTTATTTCACACACGCCTTAGATTAGCGACCTAACTAATAACAGAAGTGTGAAGGTTAATAAATAAATGCGTTTGTCAGCATTGACGACCCTTGAGAAAATGAATGTGAATAAGAAGCTCCTCGAAGCTGAATAACTCCAAGGAAAGCATAGCCTAGCGGTTTCTGGAGGTTCGACCCCCTAGTCAACAGACGGAAGATCGTCGTCTTCTGTCCGTCCCTAGAGGCTATAGAAAAAAAAATTTATAAAACCATACTCCACTATACAGTA